TGAATGGCCCAATTTTCAACCCGTCAAAATGACGGACGGCCTTAAATTTTCCCCGTCCACTCTTAAAAAAAATCCGTCAATGATGGAAAATTGTCCGTTAATGTAACCTCTTCAGAAACAGAAATAAACAGAAAGATGTAAATGTTTATCCAGTCTTGTTTAACTTCGATTTCGTTCCAAAAGACAGGCTTCGTTATCAGCAATCACCCCTCCTCCTCCCGAGTCCTCCCAAATAAAATATGAAATCACGGGTTTGCTTCGGGCTCGGGCCTGCAAATCAATTTAAGTGATCGGTATTATTACTGTTGTGGCGACGCCACTCTAGCTTGTCCGCTGCTCTCTGCTTTTTTTTTTTAATAATCTTTATTGACAATTCTCAGTAAACAGAAACCACTGCTCTCTGCTGTGCGTGCATCAGCGCGAACATTTACGCAAGCGCGTCTTTTGATTTTAACCAATCAGCGCTGACGCAACAACGTCACACACCCGACGTCACACACGACAACAGCTAAACTATAAGCTAGCCGAGATGCCACTCGAAGTCGGACGGACACGTTTTTCTGCCAATCTGTGTGTTTCCCTTTTTGTCCAAATATATTTTTTACGACAACTGTCTTGTCCACGGTGTCTTTTTTTCGTTCCACTGGGGTTTAGCAAGTGTGTTTATAAAGAGATGAAAATCTCTTTACTGTTACTAGTGTTAGTGTTTCAACACGGCTACTCTCGTGAAAGCAAAACAACAAACTCAAACACGTACGTCTTCGTTCAATGTTGTCAACTAATATCCGGATTAATTTTCGGCAAATTTTCCTCAATTCTCCGGACATATTTTCATAAAAATTTGAAAAATCCGGAATTCCGGAGGACTTTCATCTCTGAATGATAAAGACCAAGTCAGTGACACTGGGACTGAAGAGTACAAACTGGGGTGAAATATAGCATAGGCATGACATTACAGTGATAACAATGCTGGATTGTTGTCATTCACAAACAATTAACATATTTACTGTCAGTCATGACTAACCTCTGATGTTCACTTTTTATATGGAAGATTTTAATTTCCCTTTTCTGCTGAGCATTTAATCCTTTGGCTTGCTGTTTGTTGATCCTCTTTTTCTTAGGCCTGGTGTATTCCAAAATCACTGCCTTGTGACTCAGCAAACTTTTTTCATCAAGTTGTGGACGCGGCTCAGTGTTTTTCTTCAGGAAAGCTTGGGTGAAAGCCACAGCTTTGGAGCGAATCTGAGGCTAGTAAAGTATAAAGTACATGAAAGAAAGTAAGATCATATGCAGATAGAAACCCTGTAAAGTGAATTCAGAGATTGTTTCGAAATACATTGTATATTTTTGGAGATAACTGCTGAAAACATGCAATGACACAGCAATGTATTATTGATTCATCGGGGTTGTGTAAATAGTATGTAGTCAACAGTATAGTGTGTGTGTGTGTGTGTGTATAAATATAATATTTTTTTAATTACCATTTTAGCTGTCCAGATTTTGGGGGCATGGCGTTAAAGTCTAAGTATGTACTTGGACTTTCTGACATGAGTAGCCCCCACCCCAGTATTGAAGTACAGGGAGCCTTCAATAAATCAGTGGCTATTCGGTGCAATTGTGAGTTAATTAGTTTTTATTAAAAGAAGGCTGATTTCAACCAATACACTGCGCAGTAGCAGGAAGCAAGCAATCTATGACTGCAAACTGAAATGCATCTTCCCTGGATGCAGCAATTAAGAGAATATCTTGGTACAGTAATTGAAATTCGCAAGTGTTATATATTTTGTACTCTTTGGGCGAACATAAAGTATTTGTACGGAAAGACTTGTGGGGTTACCGACTAATCGGCAGTACTATATGTGCTAAAATGTCTGTCAGTGTGAGCCACAGGGTGAATAACGCGTGGTGCTGTGTTTAACAAACGGTTACATTTCCCTGTCTTGACTCTATTATGGGCCGTGAGGGGGTGACTAACTGGTAGCCTTCCAGTTAGCCCTCAAGCTCTTTACTGGCGAGCAGCAAGTCGTTGCCACTTGCAAAGGCCCCACGATGACTCGTGGAAGCTATTCCAAACACTGGAGACCAGCAGAACAAATTTAGTAGAAAATAAAGCCAAGGCAGCAGGAGCATCGACAAACACACTGATGCACACTCCGCCATCTTGGACTCCACAATTTCGCCTATCTTGGTGACATGTACAACAAGGGCTGCTTCGCCAAAAAATTGTAGGGGTCGTAGTTGAAGTAAAATATATATGATAATAATAGTAATAATAATCAATAATAAAGTCACACAGAAACCTAATAAAATATTGATGGTGTTGCCAGGCCTGACGTGTCTACAAAGTTTCATGAGTGTGCATGCATGTTCACACCCTAAAAAGTAGTGTTGTTTTTTTGACAAACAACACGTTGCGACGGCAACAGCATTGCAAAAATTCTCTAATTCGTGTTGCAACATCACAAAGGCCTAAACACTCTTTTGAGTAAATATGAGGTCAATGTAGTGATTCTGCTGGGAGAAAAACATCAATTCATGTCTTTACAGAGCACGATAAACCAACCGCCGCTGTATACAAAGTGCTGTACGGGGAGCAAAAATGATTCATACAACAACAAACAAAAAGAGCCGGAGCAGGACATGCTTGGTTTAGACCTCCCTGACATTAAAACATGAAGTTTGTGATTCCTCACAAAAAGCTGTTGTGGAAACGCAATGTTCACCGCGAAAGCAAAGCTATTTTTGAGAGTTCAATGCACAAATACTCATGAACCTTTGCATTCACATCAGCCCTGGCAACACCATCAATATTTTATTAGGTTATTGTGCAATGTTTTATTTTAACGGCTCAGTGACGCCAACTACAGTTTTTTTTTTTAATGGCTGAGCAATGCCAACTATTTTTTTTTTTAATCAAAGCAGCAAGTCACAATAATCTAATTTTATCTAAAATTTGGAGGGATATGTGACAGCTGAAGACCGACAAAAATTAAAAGGCTCTTGGAGCAACATGCTAAACCAAACAGGAAGCATTTTTAATTTTCTTTCAAGTTTGGCCACATTTTTTGGCCTTTTATAGAGGACACATTTTTTTTTTAAATTCCTTTTGGAGATTTTGTCCGACCGTCTTGAAACTATGGGTGTTTCATCTTAAGATATTCAAATTGACAAGAAAAACAGAGCTATTTATTTCGATGAAGGGCTGTTGCCATGGCGATGCCCTGTTTGCCAAGCAAAATTGTCGCTGATTTTGATGATCTTGACATTCATAACAAATTGAAACTTGGCAAACACACATCATGCTCGGCAAAGTTATCACGATCTTATTAGTTTATTGTGTGATTTTTACAAAATAGCTCAGTAGTGCTTGTGTTTCAAAAAAATTGCCACAGAAGATGAAATGCATCAAAATTTGTGTTGAATATTTTTTTTTTGCCATGAAGAAGCAAATTCTTGACAACTCGCCTGCACACACTCCAAAAAAATCCCTAAATTCATATGCATATTCATCATCGTGACCTGCAGTCAACTATTTTGTCTGTCATTGTTTTCAGGGTCAAGAAAATGTAAAGTTTTTTTCCTCAGACCTGAAGTAACAGCGATTTTAGATTGAAATTCCCTAAATACATTGTTGTGTGGAAAGACCTTTCTTTCATTACTCCAAAAAAAAAAAAATTGAGTGATGTGATCGACTCACCTCAACCCCAAGAACTTTCACAAGGTCACAAGGAATATGGGTCTCCACAACTGCCTCTGTTAGAAAAAGAATGATGTAAAAAGGAATTTTAGACCATGTTGATGTTGGTAGCAAGTTTGTGATTGCCCAAACACAGTCTGGATGACAAGTCAAGTCAGCAGTTCTGCTGACTTGAATGACAGCTCCCTGTACTTCAATACTGGGGTAGGGGCTACTCGTGTCAGAAAGTCCAAGTACATACTTGGACTTTGTTAAAGCCATGCCCCAAAAATCTGAAATGGCAATCAAAAAATATATACAGTGTATAGATAGGTGTATAGATAGATAGATAGATAGATAGATAGATAGATAGATAGATAGATAGATAGATAGTCTAAATTGTCCCTCGGTGTGAGTGTGAATTTAGAGTCTAAATTGCCCCGAGGTGTGAGCGTGAGCGAGAATGGTTGTTCGTCTCTGTGTGCCCCGTGATTGGCTAGCAACTGGTTCAGGGTGTCCCCCGCCTACTGCCCGGAGACAGCTGGGATAGGCTCCAGCATCCCCCCCACGACCTTTGTGAGGATAAAGCGGTTCAGAAAATGGATGGGTGGATTATTCATTGATTTCAAATATGAATATACCTGTATATTTAACCACTAAAATTCAACTACTCAAAACTACCATCATTAGCTTCATGCCCATTCATCCCTGTACACTACTATTCTTTTTGTCAATTACAAAATTACCTTGTAAATATAATTCAAGCCTCTTGCATTTTAATTCTGCTTCATCCACACCGTTGACACCTTGCATCTTTGCACACATTGAAGCAATAACCTTTTCTCTTTATCCTATATAAGTTATCATTGCTGTCCTTTTTTCTGCCATTTTTAAAATTCTTACGTTAACGGTGTGGAGCATTCCATATTATAAGTCTTAGGACTTAGTGGGCTAACCTGGGATCTCAATGATTGTATTTCATGCCATGTCATGGGGAGATGTGTTGGTACGACAGAGACAAGAAGAAGCTTGCAATTGAACTGTGTTATTATAACTTTTCACTAACTGGAAGACTTTGTGCTTTTTTTGGTAGTGCAATGTTACCCGTGTGTATGTGTTTCCACAGCGTTTGAGTGTGAATATTCGTTATTTGAAGGAGTATCACTCCCAGAGGCGATGTTAATTTCCTGCTAGCGTTTGAATATGATCCTTTGTTGACCTTACTATTAGTGTTAGGAATGTTCTAAAAACTATTAGTGTTAGGAATGTTCTAAAAATGAAGCATATTTAGAATTCACATACACAATGTATGTAAAACTCAGCTATTGTACGTACCATCCATGTGTAGGCTCTTGTCCACGTTGGTGATTTATATCGTGATACTTTCGTCTGTTATTCGTGTGTCCACAGGATCTGCTTCCTCATTCAGTTTTCCCCTCCTCCTCCTTTTTTTCTGCAAAACTTTATTTCTTCAATTTGCGTACTTTCTCGAAGAGGAAATACGCTGCATTCTTCAGAAGACATTCGTTTTGATACAGTTGAAACAGAAAAATAACATTGTCAATGCTTTTACAAAAATAGATTCGACAAAAAAATCTCTCTAAATGCATAAAAACACAAAATAAATAAATTTCAAAATTATTGTGAAGCAGTTTGCTGCACCAAACGTCCACCTCGTTATTATTGTTGTACTGCGGTCAAACCAGCTTCCACTCACAAAATTTAAGTCAAGTGAGCAGCTACTGCGACTGTCAATACTGTGCATTACGGTAGTGTGCTGCCGGTGAGCGGCGTTGGCCACCTTCAAAATAAAATTTTGAAATGGGACAAGATTTGAGCGAGGGTAGTCTGATTGGATATCTGGGGTGCTCGAGTGTCCTACGGACCTGGTCCGATTTAGGGATAACTAAAATTCATTTTAAAATTCTTTTTTAAACAAGGCGAGGAGGTCAAAATGTATTTCTGAAACATTTTATTCCTGACAACAACGGGGTGTAATTTATTCTGCATCCGTGTCGAATCGCATGTCATTAACCACAAGTGAAGTTAAATTGTATGCCCCCTAGATGGTGCCACTACCCTGCCATTGATATATGATTCCTTCGTTGCATCCAGGAATATTCTGAACGTTATGTTGTAACATTGAAGTTAATTCCTATTTTCTCATATTTGTAGACTCATTTATCTCTCCTCATCTACTATCATCATTTCATTCATCAATCGCTCATCTCTCACCAGTCACCATATCATCTATCATCTTCAGAATCATCTCAATCAACATCAACCTTTATTGTTCGTGTAAGTTGAGGGGTTCGTAGGTTTTGGATGGATGGCTCTACGTTTGGAATGGGCAAAAAGGAGAGATGAACTTCGTTTGAACACAGCTTTTTATTTTCCAACGTCTGCTCCGTAACTCTCGAACTCAGTGGCGGGCCGTGCATTTCAACCTTAGGCCTTCAGTGACGTCACATACATACACAATATAGGCTGGTCAAGCAGCACTTAATTTCAGGAGCATTTAAAACCATCAAGTATGCATTCACAATTAAGAGCAGGAAACTAAATTTACAGATAGTCAAAAATGAAAAGATGATTTAAAAATACGAAATAAAATGCCACCCAAATTACGCTGTGTGATCTTAAACAAGTCTGTCCAATAAATTGCGCATGTTCGCATTTTCATATAAGACACCAACCAAACAATAACAAAACAAACTACTCTTTGAAAATAAACAGATCATTTGCATTTTGAAAATTGGCGATTCAACAGCAAATAACTGAAAATGTTGAGCAGCTGAGATTGAACGAACTTTCGTGCACGAAGGTGACTACAATGCGCCATTATAAATTGCAGGTGAGCAGATTTATTTGATACATTTTTGTATCTTTGTCATTTTATTTCGTTACCATGAATTTAATACTAACGA